TGTTTTCATTCAAAAAATTTTATATCATAATTTGACAATTTGTGCCATTAAAAGGATGTGCCATTTTTTTTATTTAGTTCAATTAATTCAGTTATAATGTCATGTTTTCATTATGAAAATTGAGATTTTGGCCATTAATGTTAAGATGACACTGAATTGGTAAGATGACATTTTAGTGTAGATCTACAACACTCTCTTCGGAGAAGAAGGTGGCAGTGCCAGAAGCCAAGATTTTTGCGCTGTATGAGGTGGGCGGCAGCAACCTGACTAGGTGGTCTGCGACCGCAATTCAGATGCAGTGGCCAGCAACAACCATTAAAGTATGTGGCGGCCAAAGGCAATGTTTCAGGGGCATCGACCAGCGATGTCGATTTCTATTTTAGCGGCGGCCGGCGACGATAATTTTAATTTTGGCGACGATGATTTTAATTTGGCTCGCGATATCGCCTATGATGTTAGTTGTTGCTTTGTTTTATTATAATAATAACGAGTTGTAGTGGTCACATCTTTGAAAGTGGGCACATCCCTGTAAAAGGATTGGCCAGTATTGTTATTTTTTTTATAATAATATTAGTTAGTATCAATTTCTAATTCTGATCTTACTCTGTATTCGTTTAGGGTAAAACACGGTCAGCTTCTTTTAAAAACGGTAACTTCCATGTGAAATTTGCATCTTGCTTTCATTAAAGGTATTATGGTCCGCTTCTTTTAAAACTTCTGTGTGAAACTTAAGTGAGTCATAGGACTCCTATTTTGGCACACTTTCCATGTTTTACTCCCATATTGGGAATTTTCTCTAAAGTATACTCCAAATTGGCGAATAGACCAGATTTTGATTTTTATTTAAACTGCGCGCAAAAGTAATGGTCTAAGGACCACAAGCCGGCCTGGACCTCATTCCATATTCAAAAACTCATATCCATTATTCCATTATATATCTTTCAATGGAACCATAAAATTCAGCAACACGAATTTTTAGCAAAAAATGTAAATTTTCATTGCAAAATATAGAGCCCGTTTGGTAGCACGAAAATCGGCTGTTTTGGCTGATTCTGCTGAAATTTTTAAAGTTCTGGCTGAAGTGGCTGAATTGGCTGATTCTGCTGATACAAGAAAAAAATATTTTTAAAATATATTTTATTAATAAAATAAAGAAAAAAATATATGTAAAAATAGCTAAAATGATCATCTACATTAACTTCAGCCAATACAGCCAGAAAAGTAACTTCAACCTTACTTTTTCGGCTTATTACACAATTCAACGCGCGAAAGTAAAAGAGTTGACTGATAAGTCTGATAAGCCGAAAATGAGGGTTGACAAACGGCCTCAATGTAAGATACTTACGGAGGATAATAAGTACAGAACGGATTCAGCAACGCATGTCAGCATGTTAAAAAGTAAACTTCTTCAGTATAACTTCCTAAACTTAAATATTATTATCAACAAATCTATGACTTAGTTGAATAATCTATCTGAGCATGGGCTAATTAAAAAAATAAGCTTATTGAGCGTTCCAATCAATCATTGAATATCTATCTAGTGAATACGAATTATTTTTCAGCATGGAAAACTACTAGCAGAAAAACAAAGGAAAAAGGAGCATATAAGTCCACGTACTAACAAAAAAAGGTCAAATACGCCTTTATATAGGAGAATCTGTACGGTCGTCGCAATTTGGGGCAGTTCCATGTGGAATTGTTTGATGAAATATTTTTATAATCTTATTCATTAAGTCTAGTTTACTCATACCAAATTTCAGCTAACAATTCAATTGGGAAGGCATTCAAATAAATTCTTGAAGATAACTGCGCGTTTAAATGCGCATTTATCTTCAAGAATTCATTTGAATGCCTTCCAGATTGAAGTTTTAGCTGAAATTTGGTATGAGTAAACTAGACTTAATGACTAATATGCTGAAAAAATTGCATCAAAGTTTTCCAGCGGGAACCGCCCCAAATGACAACGGCCGGACATAGTCTCCTATATAAGGGCTTATTTGACCTTTTTTTGTTAGTACGTGGGCTTATTTGTGAAATAATGGGAAATGTTGCTCCAATAGGAGTCCTGGCATGTATATTTATAGTAGTAGAGTTCAAAACATACAAGGAAACAAATCTGCCTAATTAATATTCTATTACACCCCCTCAAACTGTGCGGAAGATACAACGCGCAGGTTGTCCTTTAAAAAAAAGAAATTGCTGACTAGAAAGACTTTTTGTAAAAATATCAGCTAATTGAAGTTGTGTAGGGATGTACTTCACGACTAAGTCTCCATGCGCCACACGTTCCCGGACAAAGTGATAGTCTATCTGGATGTGCTTGCTACGAGCATGTTGAACAGGATTAGCAGTCAAATAGGAAGCAGAAATGTTATCACAAAATAACTGAACCAGTATTGTAACAGGAAAGCCAAGCTCAAAAAGTACGGAACGAATGTGAAACGTATCCTGAACAGTATATGCAACGGCTCGATATTCTGCTTCTGTAGAGGACTTGGACACGGTAGGCTGCTTCTTAGATTTCCATGAAACAAGATTCGGCCCCATGAATACTGCAAAACCAGTCGTGGACCGTGATGTATCTGGGCAACCTGCCCAATCTGCGTCTGAATACGCAATAACACATGTGGCCCTAGAAGTAGGCTGTAGCCATAGTCCATGATCAAGTGTGCCCTGCAAGTATCTAAAAATACGCTTGACTGCAAACAAATGAGTAGTGCGAGGGGCATGCATAAATTGAGACACTAAATGCACAACATAGGTAATATCAGGTCGTGTCAAAGTTAAATATTGTAATGCACCGACCATACTTCGATACTCAGTGGCATCTGTAAGAAGTTCCCCATCAGTAAGGGATAGTGAAGTACGAGTAGCAAGCGGAGTGCGAACAGACTTAACAGTGTGGAGATGGAAACGAGAAAGAAGATCAGAGACATATTTTTGTTGAGAAAGAAACAAACCTTTAGAGGAATGCATAGCCTGGACTCCCAAAAAATAATGAAGATCTCCAAGATCTTTCATAGCAAAATGTTTAGCAACAAGTTGAATGAAGGAGTTAATGACAGCGGAAGAATTACCAGTAATAATTATGTCATCAACATATAATAATAAATAAATGACATTAGTATTCTGGCGGTAAATGAATAAAGAGTTATCAGACTTGCTGCACGTAAAATGATGAGACAATAAGAAGCTACTAAAACGATGAAACCATGCACGTGGGGCTTGCTTAAGGCCATAAATGGCCTTCCGCAATTTGCACAAGTGATTAGGAAATAAAGGATGAACAAAACCACGTGGCTCACGCATATATACTTCCTCAGTGAGGTGACCATGTAAAAAGGCAATCTTGACATCTAATTGACGAATGACCCACCCAAAAGAAACAGCTAATGTAAGTACAATACGAACAGTGGTGGGTTTAATAACTGGACTAAAAGTTTCAGAAAAATCCACACCTGCCTGTTGGTTAAAACCTTGTGCAACCAAACGCGCTTTGTGACGCTCAATAGAACCATCTGATTTATATTTTGTCTTATAAATCCACTTAGAGCCCACAACATTTTTAGTATGATCAAAAGGTACTAAATCCCATGTTTTATTAGAAATAAGAGCATTAAATTCCTCAGCCATTGCCGCTCGCCAAATTAAATGTTTATTAGCCTCGGAAAAACATGAAGGATCAACTGATAAGACAACAGTGTTTAAATTAAAAATTGATTTTGGTTTAAAAATGCCCGACTTTCCCCTTGTTTGCATCGGATGAATATTAAGGATCGGGGCAGGACCAATATTCGGCGGAGGCACGACAGCCCTGGTGGTGGGAGAGTTGGGTGAGGCAGTGAGTTGGGATGGGGTAGGCGGTGTTGAAGAAGAAGAGGGTGAAGATCCATTACTGGGTATAGGAGATGGCAGTGAGGTCGGAGAATGGTATTGTGCGGCTGGGGAAGGGGAAGGGGTAGGGGATGGCTGGCTGGGATTTTCGAGCACGGCTGGAACAGAGGGCTGGGAAAGTGAGGGGGGATAATCGGTATTTTTGTTCGAGCAGGGAAGAGGCATTGGTCTGGAGATGGGATGAGTTAGAGTGAAGTCGGGAGCTAGAGGAATGGAGGACGAGGAAGAGGCATGCGTAGAAGAAGACAATGTGGCAAAAGGGAAAATATTTTCATGGAAGCGAACATGTCTACTAATAATAACTTTACCAGAGTGAGACTCAAAACAACGATAGCCTTTAAAACCAGATGCATAGCCAAGAAAAACACATTGTATGGAGCGCGGAGAAAGTTTATTGGAAGGAGATGCAGAAAAATTGGGGTAACAAGCACACCCAAAAACTCTTAAAAAACTATAGTCAGGAGGTTTTTGAAAAAGAATATCGTAGGGAGAAACACCATTAAGTGACAGAGTAGGAAGTCTATTAATAAGATATGCAGCTATAAAGATAGCATCAACCCAAAATGTGCTAGGAATAGAGGCAGTAATGAGCATAGTTCTAGCAAATTCCAAGAGATGACGATGTTTGCGTTCTGCAACACCGTTTTGTTGGGGAGTATGTGGGCACGATTTTTGAAAATAAATGCCATGTTCGTCAAAAAAATGCTGCATATTATTATTAACAAATTCACCCCCTCCATCACTCTGAAAAATTTTAATTTTAGAATGAAACATAGTTTCAACTAAAACCTTAAATAGACGAAACTGAGTAAAAACTTCACTTTTATTACGCAAGGGATATATCCAAGTAAATCGAGAAAAATCATCAATAAAACACACATAATATTTAAAGCCTAAATTAGATAACACAGGTGATTGCCAAACATCAGAATGAATTAACTGTAAAGGGGAAGAAGAAGTATGACTAGCATCCGAAAAAGGTAGTCGTTGAGATTTACCCAAACGACAGGAAACACAATCATGTTCAAAATTAGAAGAACTAGAAATAAGTTTTCTACGATGCAATAAACGCAAAATAGTTTCACCACAATGTCCTAGTCTACGATGCCACACAGGGCCAGGAGAAGTGACTGTGGCAAGAGCTAACGGTGTAGATGATGTAAGACTGATAGGGTAGAGATGACCACTATGTCGCGCCTGAAGAAGAACTGCCCCCGAAAGTTTGTCCTTAACAAAAAAATAGTTTTTATCAAAAACAACAACACAGTTGTTATCAGCGCATAATTTTTGAATAGAAATTAAATTAAATTTTATTTGAGGCACATGAAAAACATTTTTCAATGACAAGGGGCGACTGAAAGTATTTAAAGTAATATTTCCAATATTAGCAATAGGTAAATTAGTGCCATTGGCCACACTAACAGTCATGGAGCCTGAGTAAGGGAATTTATTTGACAGAATACCTTCAGAAGAGGTCATGTGAGCAGAGGCACCGGAGTCTGGATACCACAAAACATCATTGGATTCGCCACTTGAAGTAATCAACGCAGGTGCAGAAGTTTGTGAAAAACGAGACAGACAATGCATCGCAGAGTGACCTGCAGAAAAACAAATTTGACACACAACTGGGGATGGAACAGACCCGAGAATACCCTCCGAAGATGGGAAACCTGCAGAAGAACCATGAGTACCAAAAGCATAATTAGCATTAATATTTAAAGTGGACACAACAGATTTACCAGATGCATCATTAGGAAGTCTTGGAACAGGAGCACCCCCTGCAGGTCTCGGCCCGGACTGGCTGGAATGCACCGTAGAAGCTGGTGGTGCGTAGTACTGCTGCGGCCCGTGTCTTCCGCCTCTGCCGCGACCTCCACGCCCTCTGCCACCTCTGCCGCGACTGCCGCGGCCGCGTGGCGCTGAAGGACCCGACTGCCCAGTGCCCAATGGAGCAGCAAACGCTTGGTGAGGGGAAGAATAGTCTTGTTGATGATGCAAAACAGTCTGCTCAGCCTCCATGAGGCGCGGGTGAAGGATGTCGGGTGGAAAGCTATCAGGAAACAGTGAGATAGTGCCCGTAACAAATTGATACTCAGGGCCAAGTCCCTGTAGTGTGGTTTGTAATAATTCTTTCTCAGTCACAGGGGAATTAATTGCTGCTAAAGCATCAGCCAGACTTTTAATATCACGTAAGTAGTGGTCCATGGATTGATTAGATTTCTTTTTGATATTAGATAATAAGCGTTTAAGCTCCATAGCTCTAGGTAAACTGGCAGACATAAAGCGTGACTGTAAACGCTCCCATATACCCATTGAATGTTTAATATCATGAACATAAGTTAATACTTCACGAGATAAAGTAGCAAACAACCAGGAACGAATTGTTTGATCTACTCGAAGCCAATGATAATAGTCAGTATTAACGATTTGATGATTATTAAAATCCAGAGTGTATAAGGGAGGTACCGGAATAGAGCCATCTAACATACCAAAAAGACCCTGTGACACCAAGAATGATTCGAATTGAGTGCGCCATGTAAGATAATCTTCAACTGCTTTGAGTTTGATGGTAACAATCTGGCCGACGTTTGCAATTCCATGAGAAACAGCCTGCACCAAGGCTGCCATTGGAGTGCCGAAGAGAGGGTTGTCATTCTGGGCCGGACAACTCCTGGAAAACCAGCGAACGAAGGGCCAAAATAGGGAGAAGCTGGTGGCGGCGTGGGGCGTGGGCTGGCCGGTGGAAGAAGAGGGCGACTCGGCTGCCATGGGAATTGCGGCGGCAAGGGGTTGAAGAGGGAGTATGGCAGTGGTGCAGTATACGGTGGGAACGGATATGCGGCCATATATTCGGTCGTCGGCGGTGGCATGGTGAAGCTGCCAACCGGACGTGAGATCGCTGCCTGGGGTTGCGGCTGGGAGACGGCATGGTGAGCGGGGGAGGAGAAGTCCGATGCCGAGGTGCCGATGTCCGCCGTGGATTATTGATCTCAAGGTGGACCAGTTGGAAATAGACATTCTATTCCAGACCACACTTTATGTTATTTCCACGCTACACACCTATACTTGATCCATGTCGTTTATTATATTAATATATGTGATCATTGATGGGTCTAGTTATTCAAATATAGCAAAGACTTCTTTGGTCCTATGTTGATATAATTAATGGACCGGATTGATTAAGTATGACTACAGTTTGATAGCAAAATTTTGGAGCTCCTAAAGTAAATATACAATTCTAAGGATTGTGTATACATATGTATGTCGTCCAAGTGGGAGATTGTTAGATTATTGGACTTATACTACATGTAATATTCACAATATATTATTTATTGGGTTTAATTGTATGTTATATGCTATCTTATATTTAGGCCCAAAAATTAGTGGTCCTATGGATATTAATTTAAGTGGGCTAATAAGTTATCTAATAAGATATAGGGCCCAAATGTGTAGAGACCCATGAGCTTGACCTAATCAATGATGGGCTGATTAGGGTTAAGCACTCTCTATAAATAAAGGGTTATGGTCCCTAGTTGAACACGCCATTCCGTCTTTCTGCATCCCATCGCTAGAGAGATAATCCCGAGGGTGTGTATCAACTAGAAGACGCAAACCCTAGCCTCTGTCTCCCGGATCCCTAAAGATCATCTCCCATGGAGTCAGGTACGCTTCCGCTCAGTTAATTTCTCTAGATAATTTCAATATGAAGATTAAAGTATTATCGGATTTATTCCAACAATCAGAGTTTTAGAGAGTCCGATATGTTTAGTGGGTCGCTCCCCTGAGCTATCGGATTGGCGCCTCTGAATACATATCACGAGCCCACAATTAAAAATTAGCCACAAAGAGTTTTACAGAAAGTTTATGAGATCCCTTTCAAAAAGTTTTACAGAAAGTTCTTTTTGAGATCTCTTTCAGAAAGTTTTAAGAAATGTTTTGAGAAAGAAAGTTTGAGATCTCTCCAGCGGTTTTGAGAAATTATTTTAGAAAGTGTTTGGACGAGGGGGGTTGTTGGTACGGCTCAGTTTAGGCTTGCCCGCAAACTGAAATTACTTAAACAACCCCTTAAACAACTTAATAAGGATGAGTTTAGCCACATTTCACCTAGGGCAAAGGTGTCTAAAAAGGAGTATAAGAGAATCTATCAATTAGCCCTCTTATCTCCTCTAGATGAAGCTCTAAAAGAGGAATTGGTGAAAGCAAAAAAGAATGCTCTTTTCTTAAAAGAAGCCGAGGAAGCCTATGTTAAGCAAAAGGCTAAGGTTAACCACATTCTACAATCTGACAAATGTACCAAGTACTTTCATTCCATTATGAAAAAGAAGCATGCTTCGAACTCAATTGCTTCCTTAAGATTGGAAGATGGAAGTCTTACCAAATCTTTGGATCATGTGGCAAATGAGTTCACTTCTTTCTTTAAAAGTCTTTTTGGTACAAATGTTACAACATCAGGCTATTGATGGAGTATATGGGTCTGAGCCCCCGGACCCACATACTCGGAAGAATAGAAAGCACAAAGCACAGGGTGGCGCCCTCGTCGGCCAAGACACCCCCGTCGGCCGAAAAGGGGCCAACTCGGATTATGGTCCTGAGCCCATGGAACCCGGGTGCCCTCGTCGGCCGTGCCCTCATCGGCCGTGCCCTCGTCGGCCACACCCTCGTCGGCCACGAAGACCTCCCAGAACCGGATTTTACACTTACTCATTTGTACAGCCCATTAGTGGCTTTGTATTCGGCCCAGTAGCGGTCCAGTTGTAAATGTGCCTCCCAAGCCCAAGGCTTGGGAGCCCAGCCCGTATTTTCTCTATAAATACTCCCCTTGGGAGTAGTTATAGGGGTTACAAATCATTCTATTGAAGCATATTATTGCACTTCTCTCTCTAGCTCTCACTTCTCTCTAGATATACTCTATCATTTGGTGCTCTCGTTGAGAGCTAGAACAATCAAGTTAGCACCCTTCGTCGCTACCAAGCACAGCTAACCACTGATCATGGGGAGAACTAAGTCAAACCGCAACCTCGTCAGCAAAGTCATCCCTGAGGACCAAGAGCCCAGGGAGCACGATGAGGACGCCACGGCCGACCAGGCCGGCGGAGGGGATCTCTTCCAGGAGGCCTTCAACCTCACGACGGACCTCCACAACCAACTCAACGGCGGAGTCCCCGACGCCCGCCTCGGCCTGGACAAGAAATGAGCTGAGAAGACGGACCACGCCCCGGCCCAGCCTATGGCCGCGGCCTCTCCGTCCGTGGATCCACAGGTCCAGGCCGCGCTGTCGGTCATCATCGCCAGCCTGGCTCAGAACCCCACCGTCCTCAGCGCACTCTTGCCAAGGACCGGGGGAAACGTCACTCCACCTCCTCATCCCCAACCGTTGGCCGTCCGGATAGGCAACGATGAGGGGGTAATGGCCCAGGACACGGCGTCGTACCACTCCCACCCTGCTTCCCCTCTTCGGCCCGGGCAGACCCCAGCGCGTGGAAAAGCCTCTGCCTTCAATAGGCTAGGTGACACGCGCCGTCGTCCGGTTTCGGAGAGGATGGCGGGACGGATTGGTGATCCTCGTCCTCGCTCGCCAAGGGAAAGCTTGGGGTCTGTGTCCCGGACAGCGGACCAGCCCCGCCCGAACAAGGGCAAGGGGAAGTTGCACGAGGATGACGTGCGTCACCAGATCAACGCGGCTCACAACGAGCGCCTGAAGAACCAGCCGGGCGCCGCCGCGGCCGACAGGGACCCCCGGGACGAGGTCATCGCCCAGCTGGAAAGGAGGCTGACTCAGATGGAGGCCAAGCAGTCAGCCAACATCCCTACGGCCGGCGCCTCCAACGACCCCGGCCTCAACGCGCTCATGAACAAAGTTAGCGCCCTGGAGAGGGAGCTGGCCGAAGGGCGAGGTGACCCCATCATCTAGGTCAGGACCAGGACCCCTTTCACCAACCGGGTCCTCTCGGCCCCCATCCCGGAGAAGTACAGGTGGAACGCCATCAAGTCCTACGATGGCCGGTCAGACCCCCAGGAGCACTTCAGCCGTTACCAGAACAACATGCTGATGGTGAACGCGTCCGACGAATACCTCTGTCGTTGGTTCCTCTCTACTCTCGAGGGGCCAGCGTACGAATGGTTCAACGGGCTCCCCGAAGGGAGCATCGACTCATGGCAGGATCTCGCCCAGCGCTTCCTCACTCACTTTGCCGGGAGGAAGCGCGCGAAGAAGTATTTCACCCACCTCCTCTCCGTCAAGCAGCAGCACGAGGAGTCCCTCCGGTCTTTCATTGATCGGCGGACGAGGGAAACCGAGGAGGTCGAGGGGGCCGATGAGCGCACCCTCCTCGCCTTGTATCAGGGAGCCCTCCGCAGCTCCCCGTACGTCAGGAGCCTCATCACCGACCCCCCGAGGTCGTACGCCAAGGCGCTCCAGCGCGGAGGCTTGTATGCCGACGCCGACGAGCTCCACAATCACAAGAGAGAGGGGGGCCATCCCTCCAAGAAGACAAATCCCTCGCCGGCCCCGGGTCCGTCCCCGGCCGGCCAGGGTGCCCAGGGCCGTCATGGCTCTGGTGGACAGAGTAAGAAGGATCGCCACTGGCGTCCGAGGTTGGAACGGCCGGGGGTAACCCTCACCCACCCGGTCGGCACCATCCTCGATTATGACGAGAAGCACGGCCTCATCGAGCAGGCTCCTCGGCCGGCCGAGGAGATCCTTTCCATCCAGCAGGGCGGCACATACTGCCGATTCCACAAGAACTCGTCGCACAACACCGACGATTGCATCACACTGAAGAAGGCCATCGAGCGCCTTATTCGCCAGGGGGAACTCTCCCAGTTTGTCAAAGGTGGCCCACGCAAGAACACTTGGGTAA